TCATATTAATTTTAGCGTTTAATTGCAAATTCTGTTGAGCAAAATCATATATCGTCCAAATTTATTTATTTATATCAAATGGCAGGCGTCTTGATGGTTATCATTAGCCCTTTAGTTGCCTTCAGTCTTCACAGAGGGGAAGGAACATCAACTTGAAAATGTCGAGAGGGGGAAGAGAGGAGTTTTTCAAAGATGTTTGAGACGAACACAAAGGTAGAACAAAGGTGGGGTGAGTACTGTGAAATAGTCTAATATGGCATAAAGTGGGGTGATGGTAGTTTGAAGTGAGAAGTCAACTGCCAGTTAATAGACCTTTTTGCCGTATGAATATACGTTGCCCAGGGTGCACCACGTACACCCCCATATCGTCTAAATTCTTTATCTTTAAACTCTTTCTCTACCAAAATCTAAGTATTGGTAATTGCACGTTTTTGCGTAATTCATAATTTAAGGAATTGAATATGGTTCAAATATTTTAATTCTTCCTACATTGCGCTGGCGCTACAAATATTATTCTACTTGAAATTATTACGAATCATTAGTTAATTTCAATTAAATATTCCAAGAAATAAATCGCTGTAAGAATGTAGAACAGCGATATTATAAATTTGATCTATTTTTTACCCATAATTGAATAAATTCAAATGATCTTACGAGGGAATAATTTTTATCAAGCAAAGGAATCACATATATGATGTTCATATGGAAATATTTATGTAACCATCAACCTTGTGAAAATTTCATCATTCTAAATGAACTTGTTAATTTGCATTTACTAAGAGACGTTCATAATTTGATAAATAACGATTATTTCGACAATGTGGTCAGATAATTGTTTGGAATATTATTTTTTCCGCTAGAATTTTAGATTTGTTAAGAATTATTATTTTGACGATTAGAAACACAGTCATGTGATTTTAAAGTCAGCAAATGCAACCTCTGCTTACACTGGCAGCAAGTTTAATAGTTCAATTTAATTACTTTTCAGACTCGAAAGTAATTAATCAAATAGAGTGTCCGTTCTATTCTCTGTTCTCTCTGCCTTTGTGTATATCTTTTTAAAATCTTTGAAACTCTCTTCTGTTCCCCCCCAACCTGTCATTTGATATCTATCAAATTGGTGTTAAAACTACCATATTTGATGTATGCTTTTTTATCTGCTACTTTTATGAGCAATATCAATTTCTACTTAAAATTCCGTTTTTGGCAAGCCAAGGAGACAAAAGCTAACTGCCTTAAATATTTGAAATGTTAGAAAAGCTGTATTTCGATTATTGCAGTCAGCGCCATCGATCAGAAAAGATAAGTGTTCGTCCCTTTACAGATACAATTGATTAATCAGAGATATTAATGAACGGATTTGTATAACAATTAAAAATGAAATGATGGCCTAAGGTTTGTTAGTTATTTGCCGCGAAAATCGAAGGAATTATCAGCCACCACCGAATAGCTAAATCCTTAAAGATAGCTCTTCTACTTCGAAAAGCCTAAACTTGGTTGCTATAAATTTTGTCTTGGTAATTTCTTAATCAGTTTTGCACTTTTCAGACAGTGTTAATAAGTAAAGGTATCTCAGAAAAATACTAACAAAGAAAAAAATTCAACATTAAATACTTAACGTCAACATGTAAATGAAAATGACTAATTTAATTACTTATGTTTTGGCAAAGATAAAATTTAGATCGAAATTAAATTTTTACTTAGAAGTGTTTTCAATCCAATTAAATTAACTTGGGGTTTAATATTAATTTTTATCTGTGATTCTTCAAACAATTTTTCTGTTAATTTTTTATTTTTTAGAGCCCGTTTTCTTAAATGATGTCTCAAGTCTAGAACTTGATAGAACCTTTAATTAATCAATAGCTACTTCATATTAATAAGCAGTGATGGATGTCTGTTAAGATTACGCTCTATTTCTTTAGAGCATCTGTTCATTTTTAAGCGTATTCAAAATCCCACCACGTTTCTTTAATTTATGACTAAAAATTAATTTCAATTCTGATTGAATTTATCACGGATATAACACAATAATAAGGCCTTGGCCTTTCTTCTCTCATTGTTTCATCATGAAATATCTGTTTACAAAATTAAAGTGGCTGACTAACTGTTTAATGGACATGATGATAATAAGTACGCTTAATAATGTTATCCACCATTTTAAACGATTTGGCCCTTTCTAATCGTTTCTTGCTATTATTGCCGTAAGACACCGATTATTCAGCACTGGATAAGACTTCTTCAACAATTACAAACTACATCTATATTATCGAGTATTTAAAGTTTTTGCAACGTATAAAAGACCCCACTCATTAAACAGCCAATGTGTAAAATCGACCCCAAAAAAGCTCTTGGAAATCGATACTTAGAATAATTTAGGAGAGTTAAAACATGGCAACAGACATAAATTTGAAAATATGAAGAATACCAGCATCAATAAATGAGAAATATATTAAGACAAACAAAATAACTTTCCCTATATTAGGCGAAATATTCAATTCACAATAATTGACATCAACTCTTTATTCTCATTTAAAGGTAAGGTTCTGTGCATGTGAATATTTTTAGTGTGAAAATAAAATATAAATTTGATAGAACTTAACATCAGTAAGTTTGGTAATAAAACAGTTTTAATAAATAGATTAACGTTAAACTTCCGCCTCGATCTATTTTAACGATTATGAATGATATAATAAGATAATGCTATTTAGACAATCATTTTTAATGCAATGAACGGAATTTGAGGTTAATTGCTGTCTTGACTTCTCATCCATAAATATTCGGAAAAACACTTTTTGGGAAGAAAATTAAGATTTAAAAAAGGAATCTTTTGAGTCATTAAAAGGTTAATATTTCCTTTGATTATTTTCTTTCTTCTGTCCACTAAAATATCATTCAGCAAATTTGAATATCCAAAAAATCAAAACAGTAAGGTATTAATTATTTAGATGAAGTTAATTATTCAAGAATAAAAAATGGTTCAAGCTTCAGGAATGTAGCTATTGAATATCTTGTTATAATACCCATTTAAATAGCGCTAAGTACAGTAATGAAAGTTGTGAATTAGTTATATGTAAATGTGGTCATGACGGAGAGTGTCTTTTCTAATGTTCGATATTACGTCATAGATAGCGAAGATAACCAGGTAAATCCTCCTTTAAACCTAAACATATATTTCGTATTATTTGATGTCATCTTTTGAGCTATCTTCATTTAGTCTTTTTCCGTAATCAATTATAATTGCTGATTTCATAAATTAAGAGTCACTGTATTTAGTGTGGGTCAAGTTAGTTTTTGAATTCTCTTAGATTTTTTGGAAGCTGTGTTTTCTTTGTTTCATTTTCTTACCTGAAATACATGCATTAGTGTCTTGCTAATTAGGGCTTGTTGTGGAAAACTTCTGATAGATTGTCTGTAAATTCAGCTTATTTATTGATTTTTTTAGCTTGAGTTATTTCAATTATGTTTACTTTTTAGTTGGTTGATGACTTGAAATTTCTTGGTGCAACTTCTTTCCCTGCATTGACTGACAGTTTAAAATTTGCAATTAGCGACAAAGGTGATTCTGCCGAAGTTTATGAAGCCGAAGAACTTATTGGTCTCTATGTTGTTACTGTACGTTTCATTGCATTGTCTTAACTTTTTTCTTTTCAGTCGTCATGGGTTCGTAAGTCGATTGCCATGAATGCATTTCTTCCTTTTAAACCCTTCCATCCGAAGTTTAAAAAAATTTTCAATGGACTGAATGTTGTAATAACAGAGGTACTACTGTTATTCTTAATTACTGACCACACTAAATATAGTTGCCGGCAAACGATGTACTCAAGCTAACCGCTCATCTCACTATTCGTGGAGCAAGTTGTAGTGGAGTACTCGATTCAAGCACATCCCATCTCATTCTTGGTCGAGCTTCTGGGGTAAGATTTCACTTTTATTTTAATTACCGTATCATTTTAGTTTCTTTATGAACGGTGCAAAGCACATTTTCCAAGTGTTCGCATGATCTCCCCTGATTGGGTCGTTGAATGCCTGAAAGGTCAAGAACTTATCGATTGTGAAAACTATAACATTGAGCTCCTAATCAAACCTGCTCCACCGAAGCCCCCCATCATGCCCAAACCCCCTTCTGTCCATCTAATCGATCAATCAGTTGCTCAAAAGCAACTACCACAGGGCTTGGCTACCCATCTTGGTGGTATCGGAACTTCTGTTGTAAGCCATCTACCTCTTTCTCTTTTTTTTATTTTCATTATTTCCGCATTGATTTCCAGCCATATAAGTGTTCTATGACTACAATATTTAATTATATTCCCCTCACTTTTACCAACATGGCAGGAATACTATCGAATTTCTCCCGAAGCAGTAAGGCATGTTTTCGGGATCCAGGTATGTTTCTTGACAGTTCCGCATTAAGCTTTTGTTGTTGTATCATCATCTGTCCTGTCTTTCTCACACGGAATGCGTCTTTATATAATTCCTTTGATAAATTCCTCCCAAATTCTGCTTTTTTGTATTCGCAATTCATATTTTGCTTTTTCTCGACTTTTAGTCCGCTATCGGTACTTCGATTGATGGAACGCATCGAATTCTCTCTACGAATGCTGGTAAGCATATTGTTCTTTTCAGCCCAGATAGATCTTATTTTTTGTTACTATGCCCTTCAATTTGACATTGTTCCATTTCGATTGTTGGCTAGGCAATAGTGGATTTGATTAGTATTAATGGATTCCTAACCATCAATTTTATTTGTGCGAAGACGTCTTATTTGTAATTCGTCTTCTGTGAGTAGTCAACCTTTTATTCAATTTAGCTCACATTTGAAAGCATTTGTTGGTCTTCAAGATTGAGCATTCGAATAGTATACATATATCGTTTGTTTTTGATAATGTTGGTAGTCTTTTTTAGGAAAAAGAAAAAAACGGTTGGTAACTGTAAAATTTAGTGGATTTAATGAAATTCAGTTGAGGAAATTACACTACTTTCGAATGAAATCGGTTAGTAGCTTCAAAACATAATGGATTAGTAGAAGTCATATTGTTTTCTAAGAATTCTATTCAAAATAGCTGCTACGAGTGTCTTTTACAACCTCAATTCAACCTCGGAATTGGAATTTAGAGCAAATTGTTTCTACTCTTTCCCTTGGAAGGGTCTCATAAGATGCTTTCACTCTGTCCGTTAACTGGGTTGCTTTTGTGGCACTGACACAACGTTGAACGCTTTTCTCTACACCACCCAATACATGCATAGTGGTCCATCATGTTAAAACCTGGATTTGGAGGGTCCAGTACAGCCTTAAAATTGACCCCCCTCCCTCCCTCCCAACCATTTTTCACTTTTTCCTGAGATGTAGGAGGTGGTCGAATATTACTCGTTGCCCTGTTTCGTTGTCCAGGCCTTAACACTGCAATGGCCAGAATTTCTACGTAGGCATGAGAATTAAATGCAACCTCCTAAGTCCTTATGGAAAAGACTGTGGAGGGTGATATCACATGTCATGACCTTTAAAGGTGGACAGATTTGAAAGTGATGACTCGAGAAGTGTGTTTTGGACTGGTGTTGTCAAAATAGGCCAGCCATCTGTTATTCTGATTCCTGTGTTGGTCATCTTGGCAAAAGTGTTTTCCATTGGAGAAGAAGCAGAATGTTAGTGGTTGAAGGGGATGTTGGAGTTTGTTCTGAAGTCGCTTCGTCTTTGTCAGGCGACGATCTTCAAGAACGTATTGTGTGTGTGCGTGAGGTTGGTCTCTGGAAGGTATCTTGAGTGAGTAGTAGCGAAGGTCTTCATTGAGTGCATGGTTCATGGTGGGGACTGAAACAGTGAAGTGACTGTATTGGCAACACTGGAGTGTTCCAACACTTTTTCTGATCAGATTATTAGTCAGATCGCTTTGTTTTTGGCCCAGGCACCTCGTATCTCCATTACAATTCTCCAATTCATGATGGAATATTTGTTTTGCTATTGTTTCGAGGGGGAGAACAAAATAACACCAGTACACATAATATTTCCTTTTTTTTGTAATCCGGTAATTTTGTCGTGTCGTGCTTAAAACCGTTCTGAATTCATTATGGTTGAATTAGTTGCATTTTTGTGAACTTAAATGATCGCTTTTCGAACTTTGTTTAATGTGGCCTATTGGTTGGTTTATTTTTTATCACAGAGCAATCGTTAATCAGTTTCTTTATTGAAAGTTGTTTCTCTATTACGTTGTTGGGTTAATTTAGTCATATGTGTCGTTCCTCATTTCACTGTCGATCATTTTAAGGATGCATTCATTGGCCTTTTGACTCAATGCTTAGCAAATTAAAATATTTTTTGAATCCATACTCTTAACATTTATACTCCCTCTGAATCCATGCATTCTAACAGTACAAGTGTTATAAGTGAACGACGAGTGACATCTCTCTTAATACTCATCTACTGTGTTTTTCTCTAGGTGTAATTGGATTTACAACAAGTGGAGTACCTGTGGTCTCCCAGGCACCTCCAGCACCAATCCCTACAACTTTCCACCAACAGCAGCAAATGCATTCACATCTTCCCGAATCGAAGCCCACCAAGGCTTCCAGTAAAAGCAAGGCGAACAAACACCCCAGCGAACAGGGCTTGAATGAAGAACAGAAGGATGCCATTGTTATGCAGAACGTCAAAACCATATTGGGTTCTCAAGCTAATCGAAATAAGGTGGACAAAGGAACCTTGATATCACTTATTTACTGTGGATCAATTCTTAATTGCGCTTGCTGTGTTTTTGTTTTAGGATAATGCATCGAATCGAGGAGAAGGTCAGTTGCCGGGAGCCTTTTTACCTACCGGGTCAGCCCCTATAGCTACTGTTGGATCTCAGCGAAAACCCAAGTCGCCTAAATCTCCAGCAAATCGTGGCTCGAATTCCTCAGTCGGTGGTATGTTAGTTGCCAATAAAGTTGGCCCTGGAGGACAAAAGGGGGGATCAAAGGGTGGAAGTAGTGTAGGAGCTAAAAGAAGCGGAGAACTGGCTGAAATTGCCCCTCAACATGTTCAGCCTCAGCCACAGGGTCAACAACAGTTTGCTACTCTAACAGTAGATGCCTCTGGAGCAGCTACCACTCAACTCTTTCAACATTCCACAGTGTTGGTTGCAGCTGCCCCTGCTGCTCAACCTGGTGCCCAAATGACTGCTGCCGGTGGGCCAAGAACAGCAGCGACTGCTGCTCAGCAGAATGGAGCTTTTCTTCTACAACAGCAGCAACAACAACATCAACAGTATCAACAACAAGCTCTTCTGGCTGCTCAGAGTATGTTGATTTATTTTCTGGCGTTGTTTATTTCAAAAGACGAATGTCCATCTACTTTTTCCTATTTCAGTTGTCTTCCTTTGAAGGACATTCCAATTACTTATGTTCAGTGCTACTTTTTGTTGTTGTTGTTGTAGCCAATTAATTGACAAAATTAGGTTGTTTAATCAATATCTTGCAGTATTATTTGCATAGAGTTTGAAAGAAACCTTCACGTAGTTGCAAACACCTCTTTCACTGGAAATTACTGTTTAAAAAGAATTCAATTTCACTTATACGCCTTTTCCCCAATCCTTGACCTTTTAAATTGCTTTGGAACATATTTTTAACATAGTACGGGTTGATTGATTTGATGAAACTTTGATGAAAGGTACTCTCTATTGAAAGTCGTTGATGGTACGCTAGTATTATGAAACTACCTCAGCACTCTGGTAACTGGAGATCTAGGTTGCCTACTGAAGCATACTTCATTACTCAGCATAACAAAAATGGAATGTCAAAATTTTTTCTTCCATTTATTAAAAAGTTAAATGTTTACATTTATTAATCACCCACACAGTTCATAAATGATAAGGCTGAACTTTGCTCAAGAATACTAGAATTATTTCTAGCAGACGAACAGTTTGGGATCGTTTGGCACCTTACAGATTTCCCTTTCAATTTCCTTGTTGGCTTGACACATTTTGAATGCGCAATGTATTCTTTCTAGGTCAATTTCAGAAGAATAGAATGGCTGCACCTCAACAGGTTCAAGTATCTCCACTCCTGCTGCAAAGTGCTCAAGGTCAAACTCGGGCTACGACAGCAACATTTATCGTCCGAGCTCCCTCCGATATCCAACTGGGTCAGGCCGTCACTGCAGGTCCAGACTCTGTTCAGGCCCTCCTAGATAGCAACAACAATGCAGCTATTAAGGAGGGACAACAGCAGCAAGTAATTTTGCAACCTGCTTCCGGTCAGGCTACTCAACAACAGCACTTGATACATCTTCAACAGCAGCAGCAGCAGCAGCAAAGAAGATCATCTTCACCTTCTTCAGCAAATCCAGGGGGTGTACTCTCCCCGGTCTTTATCCAGGGTCGTCAGCCTCAACCTCTTCAACAGCAGTATAAGCAGCAAGGTCAAATGCAAGTCCAGATGACGGGTTTGCAAACCCAGCCTGCTATTCGACCTCAACCACAGCCGTCACAAAATAGACCTTCTGCTCCTCTTCAAGCTCAACAGGGAGGCATTCGTCACAATATCCCCCCTCTACAGCCATCTAATCAACAGCAGCAACAGTACGCCCAACTCACTCAGCAACAAGCTAAGCCTACTGCTCATCAAATGGGAAGTCAGGGTCAGGCGCACCAACAACAAATAATAATTCAAACCTCTGCAGGAGTTCAACAAGTCGTAACGGCCCAGGAACTCAGTGTATTTACTCTCCTTTAGCTAGTTCACAACGCCAATATTTTGTGAGTTTATGTGGAGCTTTCCGTTCTTTTGTAGAATGCCCAATACACACAGATGCGTGCAGTAACACCGGCAGGTCAAGGTACATCGCCTAGACCGACGACAACGAGTATTATCGGCTCGTCTGGTTATACTCAGCAACATCAGCAACAGGAACAGGTTTTGACAAGTAATGGTATCGTTTCCTCTTCCACTGCCTCTTCCAACATACTCTATCATAGCTCGGTGCCTACCGCTGCAGCTGCGGCTTTTGCTGATGCTTCTACTGGCATTCCTCAAGATCGTGTTGCTTGTACGCTTGCTTATCGCTCATTGCTTTGCTTTACCTTGCAGTGGCTAAAAGCTAATGCTTACCAGTTTGAAGCAGTGAGTGTAATGTAGATTAGGGGAACCAGACGCGGTGGGAAGGCGAGGGGGAGGAGTTAGTTAGAGTGTGAAACAAGCGTCTAGTAGTTGTCCTGTGAGCGATAGTACTGCCAAAATTCGGAATCATTTCGAGATAGTGGTGAATACCACTCGATAGTTGATAACCTACCTCTGTTCGTATTTGATTGACGACTCAACTGTGAGCCGGATTGGGGGGGGGGGGTGCATTTTAAATAAATGCTATACGTATAATTACCGCATGAAAATTCTTATACAGTAGATTTGTGTGGATTAATGATTTTTGAATTTGCCTATTCCTTATTTAACTCATCTTTGAAAACGCTTGCTCGGGTTTTCCTAAACATTTTGATTCTCGTGAAGATTGGTAGTAATATTAATTTCACAGTAATCTTTCCTTCGTGTTAGTTAAAGTTGCATAATTAGGCACCATGAGATGGGGGTGTGCTATTCGATCGTTTCGTTCATCCGTTTATTTTGCCTCATCTTTCAGATATCACATCGATTCCTCAACAACAACAGCCACAAGCACCAGGTGGAAGACTTCAGCAAACAATACTCCAAGGTCAGGGTCAGCAACAACAGCAGACTATGATCAACGTATCTGGAGGACGAGTTATACCATCAAGCCTGGCCGGAGCCCCAGCATCCATCCTTCAAGCGTCACAACAGCAAGCAGTTGCCATTCAACAAGGTCAATTTTATGGACAATCGACAGTCCCCTCTCAACCACCCCAGCGTATCCTAGTGCAGTCACCCCAACAGCAATCTCAGGGAATGCTTGCCACCCAAGGACAAATTCCAGCTGGAGGCGGTTTCATTCAACAGCAACGGCAACAGTTGTTGCCCCAACAGCAGCAAATGATGACCCGTGGCCCCATGAACAACTCACAGATCCGACAAATGATGACTGCGCAATCTATTCAACAAACGAGACACATTGCACCCCCGCCCCCTCAATATCGACCTGGTGGTTACGTGCTACCATCCCGACCTTCTCTTAATTCTGTCTCTCAAACTACAGGTGGTGCCTATGGACCGAATACAGCAACTGGGGTTAGAGCTCAACAGATGCAACAGATTAATCCGGCTGTTCAACAGCAACAGGCTCAGATTGCACCACAAGTGCCTCCTGGTTTTCAATTGCCCAACTTCAAAGGTCATGTCGGCTACAACTGCCCTACAGCCCATGAGGACTGCCTAATTGGCTGTGTTATGATGCTGGTTGGATATACAAACTTCTCGGAGTCTACTAGAGCTCTCTGGAAAAAGATTATACGCTCATATGGTGGGGAAGTTGTCAACACTTATGTTCCTACTCGAGTAACACATGTCATAATGGACTGGAAACTGGGTGATGCAGCTCTTTATGAACAGGTCAGCCTTCTCATATTCATGAAATTGGCTTGTAGCCTATTAGCTGTTTCAAATTTTCTTTAAAAAGTTACAGACAGCGAGGTATACTGAGTGGACAATTTCAGAGTAGTAGTTTTGAGAAATAGATTTATATATTATAGTATTGGTCTTATCCACAGTAATACCGAAACGCTTAAATTTTTAATTATGGAAGCAAATTCGAGTTGTAAACTGTTTACTGAATTGACAGTCTACGTTCGGAAATTTGGAATTCGCAATTTATTTCCTGGATTGCAGGGAGCACTTGTCTTCGATGGTCGGTGCCTATTGACGGGTCGTTTTCAAATTGGAAGGGTTGATCTTTCTGCTTTGATTTATTTTTTCCTTTCAGTGTTTGAGAAGGCATAATGATATTGTATGCTAATCAGCTGTATTCAGTCAAGTGAATTTTAAATGAGTTCGATGATATAGTAAGTTTATGTGCCATATTCTTCAGGTACTCAACTTTAAATAAGTGGTTACAGTATATTTCATTTTATTAAAACCTTTTATTTCATTTTTTTGTCAGAAAGCGCCCTGATTTGGGGTCATATAATAACCAGTAAGGGGTGAGGGGCTTACCCGAAGTTGACATTCAATTGGGGCTAATCGTATACATCCTACTTTATTTTTTTTGCGGAATTGAATTTTAATCTGTTTACCTAATTAATAGGTAATCACTTCATGTTTTGGGAGTTAATTCGCATGATTGTCATCGGATAACTGAATATATTCATATCCTTGTTCACTGCTTATTGCCCAGCTAATTCGTCTTGATGCTCTTTGTTTTAATTAGTCATTCATTCAAACTCAATAAGTTCTGGAAATCGGGCTAATTGACTCGTTGCTTGTGGTGATTTTGGACCCTTCAGTTATATCCTGTGAAGAGCGGACATGGATATTTGATGCATGCAATTCTTCACGTGGCAGGATATTGAGAAGGTTTTTGGCTTCCGTTTTATTGACTGATCAAATCAGTTAGCACGAGAGAGATTGGAATGTCGTTGAGGAAGAGCTCATGAATAATGATAACACGTGTAGTGTTTCGATCTGATTGGAGTTAAAATCAACATATTGCAATTAAGTGGACGGGCCATATAGGGTGAAGAATGATAAAGGCTAGGTTTTGTCACTATTGAAATTAGTTATAGAAATTAGTAGATGAGCGTATTTGATAGATGTGCACGAAAGTTCTTAAGCGCTTTAAGGATTAATATTTCTTAGATTCGAAAATAAGGTTAATAACTTTTAAGTCTTCAGGTATTAAAAGTTGTGTTTATAAGTTATTACTAAATCCATTTGATCAAAAGGGGAAAGGAACGGTAGCAGCTATATATTTTCTTGAACTTTGCACTGTTGAACAGTGGTTCTTGGAGACTTTTCAGCCAAATTGGTTAATACTAATATAATTAAGTAGCATTAATCTATTACAGGTACTTCGTGATCGAAAGAGAGTGGTGACGATCTATTGGCTGAACGACGTCCTTGCAAATGGTCAGATGGTCCCTCCATTCGAAATCATCCACCTTCCATCCGCATTCGCTCCCTTCTGCACCCTCAAAGCTATCAGAGCGCAGGTTAGCTGTCATTCCCAATTTTTGTTTTCCCACCATCTGTGTTAGTTAATTATTTTGACGCTTTAGATAATCTCCATAACTGGTTTTGAGGGCACCGAGAAGCTGAAGGTGGAGGCAATCATCAAACAAATTGGAGCTACCTATACGGACTATCTCGATGAGATGAACACTTTCCTTGTCTGTAAAAAGTAACTTGCAGTTTAATGAATACTCCCTCATATCTAATCGCATAGGTGATGGTAGTCTAATCTGCTGCTTTTTTTCAGACCTGAAGGCGAGAAGTACAAAATGGCTAGGCATTGGGGTGTTCGATGTGTAAATTTACGCTGGCTTCAGGATCTCTATTTGGGAGACGCTAGGACCTTGGATATACGTGTCCCACACAAGTACCTCTGTTTTGACAAAATGGATGTCACTATTGCCCTAGAGCTTCGTACTGCTGAAGTTCAAGAAATGATGAGTGGGTTTTGTTTTTGACGTCTTTTTCAACATTTGAAATGCGCTTAATTTGCTTTTTGTGCTTATACTTCAGTTGGCTGGAATCAGGGAATTTGTGTCACGCCTGCATCTTGGGAGGTGAGTTTTGCTTTGCGATACGTTGTTGAATTATCCATTTATCAATCCATTATCTTATTATTAAAAGTTGGGTATGAGTTGGAATGTTGCAACGTAGTTGATGTGCATTCGTAACAGAAAACATATTTTTTGATATTTTGGAAGAGACTTATCCCGTCTTTTTAACATCCTGATCTTCTTTTGGAAAATTGGGGTTGCTGTGGTGGGTTTATATATTCTTTCATGACCATTTCCTTCTCAGCAATCGTTGTAACTTCTGTCTGTTGAGCAAAAGAGTCTATTAGTTGGCAAATCATTTTTAGGCTTGTGGTTTATTAATTCTCTATTGTCTCCCCCTTCTCTCTCCCCCCGTCTCTTTTGCTAAGAGTCGATGAGCTCTTTCACCTACCCTTGCTCAACAGTAGATAACAATGCTGTGAATTTAAATATCATATATGCCAAATGGTAACTATTAAAACTTAGATCCAAGGTTTTTTGAAACTTTGAACTTATCTATCTTAAGGTGGATTATACTAGATTAAAGGCTGATTAAGACACTATTGAAGGACCGATGCCAGTATTAAACTGTGTAAAACATTGGTGTTAAATTTCTAGCATAAAAAGTTTCTTTGAAAGAATTTGTCACACGAAATGCTGTCAAAGATGGAATCTCTGAAAACGTTGTACTAGCAGTCAGGAATACGATGCTTCCCCCATAGCTATTCTTCAAGCTATCCCTTCGGTTATCTGTTAATTAATACGGTTGCGGCAGAATTGAGGAAGACATCAATTGAAATCGACAAAGTTCATTGGTAACAGTTGGAATGCTTGGAGAACAGACCAGAAGAAACAGATTGGTCTTAAGCGCACTGGTGGTTGCCGTAGTTATAGTGGAAGCTAGTAGTATGGTTTATGAGTTGACAGGGAATAATTTACGTAGCTCAGGATTGGAGATAGACCATTCCTCTAAGACAGTGGCTAACACTCAATTGTTCGTAGCCCAGTGACTCAGAGTGCGAAGAGAATCGCATCTCCTGTGGTAGCAAAACGGGCACACTACTTAGGGACACGTTGGCATTTGTGGCCATCTTCTTGAATTTGTACAATTTATTCGACGCTAGCTTTTATAAACGCCCTTTCTTTCTTGTTCGCATGTTTTCTCACATTTCTTTGTAGCGCTTGGGGAAATTGCGGGAAATTTTGCTCCAGGAGGAGAAGAAAGAGGAAGAGGCAAAGGCTGCCCTTCAATGTCAAAAGGAAATTGAAGCTGGAAAGAATGATGAAGACGCTAAAGAGAATAGGTATGTTGAGTCTCAGGTAAACAAGTAATTTCTACTTTAAGGGTTGAAGCGGATTGAACTAACATTACCCTTTTGTTATTGGAAACTATTTTCCAACAAAGTGTAGAGGGGGGGGGGGGTAGAACGCGGGTAGTAAATGAGAATAAAATTACTTATCATGAGTCTTTCTTTCTTCACCTATCTATTCTTGTTTTTTTCCTGTGTGTTCTCCACCCCCCCCCCCCCTCCTCTGATTTTACCTTGTTAACTCATACCTTTAATTTCTAATTCATTAATTTGGATTCTATCATTACGATATTTTTTTCGTTACGCCCAAGGTAGCTGACATATTTCTAGCCAGATTTTATCATAAGTTAATTCTAAAGAGTAACTTAAGACATATTATTGAAATGCACACTATTACACATGGAAAGGCATTAGAATTAAGTCTTCGTTAAATCCTGTCGCGTTTTTTGTTCAGGTAATATTCTGAACCTCAATTGTACTTATAAACTTAAAAAAATTGATCGTATTGTAACCATTTTGCGTAGGTTTGTCTTACCCCCCCTCACGGCGGAAGAAGTGGAAAAATCAAAGACCGGTAAACTTCGATCAACGTTGCTGCGCGAGGAGGCGAATAAAGTGGCAGCTCATCGAGCCAAATTAGCCGCTGAAGCTGCCACCGCCGCTGCTGCTTTGGCTGCCCAACAACAACAACAACTCTATCCGGTCCAAACTAATCCCCAAGGGCAACAGATCACCACACCGTCTCTTACTTGCCAATCACTTCCAATCTCCCTACCGCCCACTTCCTCCGTTTTTCCAGCCACTGGAATGCCCACTCATTTCACACAAGCTCAAACAGCATCAACCCAACCAATTCAGTCTGGTCAACAACCAGCACCAACTGGAAGCAATTCTGTTAATACTCCACTAACTAATTTCTTAAAACGTCCACTTAGTCCTCCATCACACTCCCCATCGGCTAAACGTCAGGCATTTGAGATCCCTCATCCAAAATCCGTCCCAACTTTTCCAGTCGTTTCACCCGTTGAGATCAACTCCACTGAGCGCCCCTCCTCTGCTAACCAATTGCACCCTTCTCAACCTATAAGTGCTGATCATGTACCAATTAGATCCGAGGAACAGGTTCAATCACTTGCACAGGTGCCGACGCCACAATCCGTGAATCCTCCTGCTCAAGCTGAAGCTAAATCCGAGGTCACACTTGACCTCGAGGTGCGGATAGTCTTTACCGACTTGTCTGCCAAAGAGCATGAAGTCATTGTGGAGTTGGTTGAACAGATGCCCAAGGAGGGCATTGCCCCCTTCCGTTTTGTTGACAGTGTCTGTGATGCCACTCATTTGGTCACTCTTAAGCTTTCCAGGACCCTCAAAACCTATCATGCTATGGCTTTTGGTGTGCCAATTGTTTCTGCCAAGTGGATTCAGGCCTCTCTCATTCGTGGTGATTGGCTTGGTAAGACGGCTTTCTCACGTTCTAAACTTTTTTTGCGTGGTGTTTTTATTGTCTGTTATTCAATCTATTGTCATTCAGATATTACAGAGGTGTAAGTTTTCATTTCAGGTTTAATTCCATTTGCAGTTTAAGGGTTCTATACACTCTAATAAAGTCAGTTTTCTTAACATCTCTCTAACATTACTTCGCTGTGTTTTATTAAGGCGCTGTAAAATTTTTTTGAGAAAGCAGCTAGGTTAAGGTTCTAATAGCTGATATCAAATGTAAGTAGTAAATACTAAATTTTCGTTTTTTCTCTTATAGCGGAGACTGAGTGGTTATTGGAAGACCCAGAGGGTGAGCAGAATTTGGGCATCCAAATGGCCACATCCTATGCACGTGCTCGAGAGAGACGTCTCTTAAGTAAACCAGGTCTTTTCGCGGAGTTAGAATTTTGGTTCTCCCCAATGGCTCACCATCGTGCTGTCTGTGAAGAGCTTGTACGCCTATGTGGTGGTCGTATTCGTGAAAGGAGACCCACTCAAAAGATGGCCCTCCTTACCATTCCTAAACAAGTTATTATTTGTCATGAAGAGGACGCGAATGTTGCTGCCTATCTAATGAGGACCAAAACTGGAAATCGCGGTGAGATCCCCTTATATACTGCTAATTTCTATTATGCCCGGCTTGTATTCGATCTTAATGCCCTTTTATACTTTCAGCCGTACATCATGAAGAGTTTATACTGAGTGGTGTGTTGCGTCAAGAGTTGGACTTTGAGTCTTACCAAATCCAGTTGGTTAGCATTCAATTTGCTGAATTGACAGCTGCAATTAATGCGAATATGAACAATAGTAGTAGAAGTAATGTTGAAAACACCAATCCCAATGCCAACGACAATAGTGCTTCGGCCCCTGTACGTAATGTAGATCCCAGAAGTGAGTTGCCGGGTGCACCTCTTCAGTCTCCACCTTCTTCCAACACCGTATATATGCGACCGCCTAATCCCCCCTCCTCTCAACGCACTCAACCAACTCCCCCAACGTCAAATACTCCACGATCTTGTTTGGTGTTTGTTTCGGGCGCTCCGGAGCAAAGTAATCAACCGGAGCAGCAGCAACCTCCTCAGTCCTCTGTAATGTACTATATCCCTTCTGAATCAGGTACACAGCCCTCATCAGGAGTTCAACAGCCTATTACAGGACCACTAATGTATGGTAATCAGGTTCAGCCTCATCAAATCTCTGTGGCTCCTCCGATGTCTGCTTCTGAGACACTTCCCATGACAACTATGCGCCTCCCATCTGAAGGTGTTTCGGGCACTAGATCGGCCACAATGGCAGGAGATGAGGCGACGGGCTTAAACGCGGCCCGAGTGGCAGCTAATGACGCGCATGTCGTTGCCTCAGCAACTGCAGCCCTAACTACAAACCCCACTCTGATTGCGAATAATGCAGGTGGCGGTGGTGGTCAAGTTCAAGGCCAATTGATCAATTTTAACTCCCCCCTCCATCAACAAAATCAACCATTAAATCATCCGCCACCTCCCTCCTCTACGGGAATGGTTTGTTGTCCTTTTGCAATGCTAACATTCCATGCGTTTACATGCCTGTGCGAAGTTAGAGATCGCAAGTTCATTGTCCTTCAGTATACTCCTAGTGAGCTGAATACTAACCGCGCACTGGTTTTATATGTCTAGTAATCGAGAGGGTTTTTTACCAGGCAAGCTCAGTCATTCTATTCCTCAAGATGGCTGTTGACAATGCTTTCTAAATGGGCACTAGTAAAAATCAGTCGCCATATGGCAATATTTAACAGCGAGATGGTTTATTTTCTAATCACTGGTGGCAAGTGGCTTCGAATTGACAGTAAGGCTTGGTCAGTTGTGATGGGATAATGTCAATAAACATATGCTTATTTGGTTAACTAGTTGCCAATAGACTAGTGATCGATCGATGGCTAACAATTGTTTGTACTTGCGACAGCAAATCGATATGCAGTCAAAGTGGTCGCCAAACGGTGAAGAATTAGAGAGTAAATTTTAGTTAAAAAGGGAGGTAATGCCAATCGGAGAACAGATGATGCGTCAAGTTGTTATTGTAACTTTGGAATTAACGCGTTTTTCTTCGCTTTCAGATGTGAAAAGATACTCCTGTGAAATCAATGTATATGATTGACGGAATTTATCATGTGTAGCATTTGTCCCTTGAATTCAAATATTTACTTGTTAAAATATAGAAAATCGTAACTTTCCTTTGACCCCCCCTACTCTCTGTCAGTCTGAATTTTTTGTATTGTAGCTTGATGTTTTAGTGTAAAAAGCTTCGTGAAAAAATATGGTATCATTATCTAACATGCTTCTTTGTGTGTCACTACTTATTTGCACTTCTTTGTGTGGATTTGGCTGTATAAGGAAAGGAGAAGTAAAATAAGACATTTGGATGGAGGCTTAAAGCACCCCCTCTCCGCAATTCCATCAAAAAAGTTAGCTTCTGGGTCAGACAATGTTTGGGCTGGTATTCCCCTTAAAAATCGAACGATCTTCCTGAGGTGTAACCGTATGCAACCTTTTTTTAACAAGTTGGAAGACCTGGAGTTAATTAGAATCACGTATCTCTTAGGGAGCTGGAAATGAGTGAGTGGGATGTAGAATTGTCCTTAGAGGAGTTGTATTTGGATATGATAAATGAGCTGGTGAATTTCGGAATGTCTGTTCGATATTGATCATCAGACAATTAGGAAGCCCAGATGTTTGAGTCGTTGTGCTCCCGCTGCTACAACCTTTGTAATGAGAACGATAACCACTGAAAGGGGGCGGAGTTTGTAGATGACCTAGCTGGCCTAGCCCAACGTTGGTGTCAAACAATGTTTATTTAATTAGATCTAAGATTTTGTCGTGCAATAATGTACTTAATTCAGCCTATTCGATAAACATGTGCCTAAATTATACACTTAGGCGTTTGTTCGTATGGGTAGTCATTCTTGTCTATGGTTCAGAACATTGTGAGCTCTCAGTACCATGAATGAAACTACTGCACAAATGGGTTTAAATATGAACAATCAGTGTTTGCCATATCTTTCTGGGAGGTCAAGGATACTGAAAACCCCGTGTGCGAAATGTCCGGTTGATAAAGGGGTAGCAGAATTAGGATTTCTCACCTAACAGTCTCTATGAAGCCACCCTCTGATAAAAGTAAGTTTTAAAACGAACTTGCTAAAAGTATTTGAGAGCTATAGATGGGATAATGGTTTTGGAATGAACGAATTGATAATTGAAGTAATTGAGAGCACTGTTACAATACTTTAAGAATGCAAGTTGGACAGAGTTTCCAGCACAGTAAACTAAGAGGCCTGAGAAGCTCAGCGATTACATTTTCGGTGTTCTATTCATCATTTAAACTTTAAAATACGAAACTTTCTTCCTAAAGAGCATAAGCAAACAAAGACATTGCATTTCATATAGCAGATTGGACCTCGGAAAGACAATCGGAAGTTATAGCAAATCGTAGAAGAATAGGCTGCATATCTTAGTCATCTTCACAAAATAAATCAATATTAGAATTATTTTTTTGAAAAATGACCCCCAAGTACATTGCATCCTATTGTATTAAGAGGGTTCATGTGAACTAATTTCGAACACAACTACTTTAAAATTCGAGACAATAGAGAGGATGTGATTCGCGATGCCATTCATCAATCCAGTTGGATATTTTTTCGAGGATAAGGCTTCGAGCGGTTCGTACCTCTACGGTGTCGTTCGGATGACTTCCACGCAAATCTAGATGATGAGCTCCACGTCCAATGCGGATTATTGTGGCACCAGGAGCAGATGTCTCATTCAAAACTCCAAATGCTGACCAAGGATCTAAGTCACCATTACTAAGCATAAATAAGATAAACTTAAGAATGACCTTCAATTGTAAACAAATTTTGTGCCTTCTTAAGTTATTAGATGACATAAACTATGTTCGATGAATAGCCTAGTAATTAAATCGGATTATAATTCGGCTTGGCGCAATACTTCACGATTGTCGTGACCGCGTTGCCAATATTAACCCTTTAACGCCCAACAGGACCGTACAGTCCTCTTTCAAAATAAGCTCCACTGGTACTAGACTCGTAACAGAAGGTGCTATTGCAGTTTGAAACATGTTCAATATGCCTCTAAACTTCACCTGATACCACCAAAAAGCATCAGATCGGCATCGATTGGGTGAGAGACACGTATGAGTGCGGTTGGGTGCATTTTTCAAAAAAATAAATCGGGCGTTAAAGGGTTAAAAACGCCTACTAACCTCTCTGCCTATAAGTCGCTTATCGGTGTTTCCAAGCTATCTAACATCCATGCTGAGAATTTTACTCGCCCATTTAGTCTTCTGTATCAGGAGAGTAGATGAAGCAGATATTCTTAAACTAAGACTGGAGATATTAAAATATTTTATTACACTAATTGCCTAACCAGGTCGTTTAAAGAATGTGCACTAATGAGCCTCCCGCAAGTGAAATCCGAACTAGTTTGATTTCGTGCTAAGCATAAAGGTACCTGCTCTACTTACGAATGTCCAGTACTTAGTAAGATAATATAACCAGCTTATAAACTAACCTAAATATAAGCCTGGTATCAGTGGTAATGTCCTTGGCCCACCATTGCAATCCAGCCCAATTCATTCGAGGTCGAATTCCAAATCTGTCTTGACAACTATTTGAGAATTCGATCGGGTCCCATCCTCTTGGTCTGAACATGTCGATTTTCCCATCAGAGCATATTGGATTGGTCATTTCCATACATGTCTAAAAAAGGCATTTTCATTGATTAGAAAACATCTAAGAGCAAATATTTACAAACCTGCAATTCCCAGCCCCTAGAGTCCAGATTCTCGGAACCAGAGTCAAAAGAAAGACACGTGTCTTCCTGTTTGTAATTATAAAGAGAAAAGAAGGCGCAAGCAAACTTTTCAACCTGCGGTGAAAGTTTTCCTTGAGTTGGACAATTGACCATAGCCTTACAAAACTCCTATAACAATTAAAATAAGCAAAACCCATTAAGTGTTTTAAAAATTATTAAGTACTAAGGAATGAGAAGTTATGAGATATACCTTCACAGGCCACGCTGGAAGTTCTCCAAGAAAGGATGTGCTGTAGGGATAGTTTGCCATAGCAAGAGTGACTAAATAGTCTTCCACAAAATCTAAAACGAAATCCCCATTTGGAAACGGTTTGCATGTCTTGAACGCCCTTGAGAGATCACTCAATCCATTCGCTGAAATGGAGAAAAGTAGAATTGAACTCTCGATAGGGAACTTACGCTTCTTTACAATTTCATCAATTAGAGACCAGATTTGGCGAATTTCTGATGTGCATTGTAAACCACCACCTTGTTGATAAGCCCTAGTTGTAACTTGAAAAAACCCCCGACAGTCACTCATTCCAGGAAACAGCCAAACTGGTGCTGAAGCCGCTAAACCACTGAAATATGTAGAACATTAATTATAAGTCAAATAGTTCATTTCATAGCCATTTAATAATGTTACGCACCCAGCAACAACATTCGGAAAAGATTGCCTAAACCAAGCAGTCAACATGCCACCATAAGAACCGCCGAAAGATATTACTGGAGAATTTGCAAATTTGCGATTTGCACACTTGAAATCGGTGAGAAGTTTCGCATAGTCAGCCAGTGCTTGTTCAGCGATCAGGTAACCAAAGTGTTTCCGATCCTAAGACCAAAACGGGAACCACATTACATACGCTTCTATTAAACCTACAGTGAATGATTGATTGCCAAAGGGTAGAGACGTGCCATAATAGCGGTGCTCAGCGAATATCACAGCACCGGTCAATTTTTCGGCCAATTCAAACATGAACCCCTATATAATAAACACGGAATAAAAATGATAATTACCGTATTTCCGGCAAAGTGCTCAATTGACCCTTCATTCCCAGTGTAAAACAATATTGGCCCGCCAGGTTTCCATTTCTCTGTGGAGAGTAAGTAGGTAATATTGAATTTGTGCGAAGGACCAAAAGAAAAATGGTCAAGCTAAAACGTAATGATGTAAATAAAGCCTTTACAAATTCCGTAAATGAATTCTTTTCATAATTAGGAGGTGGTTTAATTTTTTCTCCAAGTCTTATTCTGTGAGATAATATCGAAAGAGATATTTGGACAGTTAATACCAAAATCAACAAGCAGTTTAGACGCATAGTCACGGTCAGCGAGCTTAATGTTGAAGTGATATGGCTAAACGCTACTAAACAATGGTCAAAAAAGCAAATCAAATCAAAAAGGTATAGATATATAATGTCTAAATTTAACAGATCGGCGGGTTTATAAAAATTAATACAATCATTTTAATATAATTGAGTGATTCAGATACTTGCTTCGTAAATCTTTATAATTAGAACTTAAATCTCTATTATATCTATTAAAATTTTTGGGCTACAAATAGGGTTCTTCCAGTCTCCACTTTCAGCAACCACTGAATCTATCAAAAATAATTAAAAAGACATTTATAATACTGAGTAATTATAGTTTCGGTACGTGCAAATTTTATTTTGCCTATTTTGCATTGCAAGTTTCAGTGCAAGTATAAATATTTCATATTTATAAACATTTACATCAGGTTAAATAGAAAAATGAAGAAAATATTCTAAGAGATTGAACATATTATGAAAACGAGCGAGTAGTTTTGAATGTGAGGAAATGTAATAATTTTCCATTACGAAGTCATTTTAGGTTTTGTGAGTTTTTAGAGAAGTCAGAACAACAAAACTGAAGTAAAAACTATAGTTTAAGTTAGTTTATCAGTATTTATGGTTAATATTTTTGTGGTGGTGTTGGCCTGGCACTACAGAAGGCGCAATCTTACAATGTATCCGGAGGTAAATTTTATATTTTAGGCCAATCACAAGCTTTGTTGTCACGCACATTATTCAGGCAATTCTGCAAATTATAAATGTGAGTTAAGTCTATAATGGCTATCTTTCGGTTATTCTATTTTCTAAACTATAACTATTGTTTATTTGAACTGATTTTTACTAAACGTAAATTTTAACTTTTTTAAATGAGCAATATATGAACGTTCAAGTTTTTAATTTCACATATAATTAGAATTATCATTTACATTTTATTAATTTTCCCTTCGCTTTTAACAAGCTCTTGTACTCTTGGCTTTATGGTAATAACTATTTAACATTTAAACAATTCCAGCCAGAATATTAAATCTTCCTTTATATATATCGTTTGCTTTGCAATTATTATTTGGCTCCTGAAAAGTGGCACTGATCAATTTGGAAGCAGACACGTATTACATGTTCTGCACTATACATTCTTCATTCTCACTTGGGTAGTGCTTATCATTCGATTCTATGTCGAATATCCGTATCATATAATGGACTGAAAAATCTGAAGTTAGGGCGCAAGTCTAACCTATCTCGACGTGCATATTCCTCTCTGAATAGGCCTACTAGGGCATTGGTGATACCCTACAATGTCGTAAAATTTGAAAGCTTGAAAGATTCTCTGTATTGGTATTGACAATAAAAAAGACCTCGTACCTACCTCAATTAACCCCATTTACAAAATTAATTATTTATATTGAGAATACAATGTACTTCCATATTTAAGCACCTAAATTTATAATAATACAACATTACTAATTTTTAGTAACATTTATTTATTTCAAATGGCAGGCATTTTGATAGTTATCATTAGCCCTTTAGTTGACTTCGGGCTTAACAGAAGGGAAGAACATTAAAGTGAGAAGAATTCGACAGGGGAAAAGAAGAGCGATTCACAGATGTAAAAGACAGACAGACACAAAGGCAGAGAAAAGGCTAGATGAGTGCTGTGAGGGGTCGAATATGGCATACAGTGGGGTGTTGGTAGTTTAAAGTGAGAAGTCAACTGCCAGTTAATAGACTTTTTGGCCGTATGAGTATACGTTTGCCCAGGGTGCACCACGTGGAGGTAAGTCTATCGCACACCCCATTTTTAGTAACATAATTTGTAATTTTTAAACGTGTTTCTTCCTTCTGACTAAAATATGTGCTCTTATTTCATGCTTTTCTAACGGTCTTATTCGTATATTTAAGTTCAATAATCAGCTAGGTGCTTAATTGACAAGACTGCGTGAGTAATATGCATGGGGCAGAATGTACTGTTTTATCCAAATGATTGAAACAAAACTGATTGCATTTAACGTACTCTGGCTTTTGAAGATAATTAACAACCATCACATAATGGTCAGTTGAAGAAAGCTGTTGCATATATTAAGTAATTGATTGGCCTTTGTAATACATATTCGGTCTGCCATTGTTTTTTTGGTTCTGAAAATATCTATATTTAAAACATTTTGATTTCCATATTTCAATTTTGTTACATCTAGTATGAGATGCCTTGTATACCTTAGCACTTCACCCTATCTCCAGGTACCTTCAAGGGCTAAGTTGAGATATCGGGAGAAGATAAGGTTAAAAAATTGATTGTACATAACACTCGTAGTATAGAAAGCTCAGGTAGAAATTTGCGTCATGATAATCGGAATGAAAGTCGAATTACTCTGTGAAAGATAAACAAAGAAGAAAAATTTTCATTAGGCTTCGTTCAGGGTAAAATAGTGAATGGGAGCAAAATATGTGAAACACATATGAGAGTGGGGGGAGGGGGGAGAGGGAGGACCCAGTTATTATAAAGGTGATTACAACGCTTGCCTAAAAAGGATTTTGTAAAATATTTTTTTCGATCCCTAGGCGCTGGAAGGCCCTTCTTTAGGGCAAGTTTAAGGTAATGAAATTAGTGGTGGTTCAAGATTGCGCTTAATATGATGAGGGGAATAAATTATTTATCCATTGGCTTAAAACATGTATTTTAACATCTTAAATTTATGGAATGAAAATAATATTTTTAAACCAGATGTTATAGCTATTTTATGCAATTATATTTATTAACCTATTTTAGGGAATATTATATTACAGATGTGGGGTGTGTGATAGACTTACCTCCACGTGGTGCACCCTGGGCAACGTATACTCATACGGCCAAAAAGTCTATTACCTGGCAGTTGAATTC